GCCAAGAAAACTGCAGGGATTTGTCCAGGCAGTCTCCAAGAATCAGACACAATTGAACAGATTAAAAAGAAAAAAAAAAGACATGTACTCACAAATCCAACATTTCTCATTTATACAGGAAATTAACATTAGCTTTACATTTTTAAAATATAGTAATGCTCTTAACAGAGGTAATTCACATTTGTGTTTACATAAATATTCCAAATTCAAATAATTTCAGTAACAGCTTTCAACTGTACACTTTGATTCCAGTACTTATTGTAGCTCCATTTTTACCTATGAAGGTGTTACATTATTACATATTAACCTGCATATCAGGAATGAAATGAGAATTTTTTCAATTTAAAAAAGTTATCAGAAATCAGTAATTTTACACTTACTTTGAGATGAAGTTTTCTTTCAGTGTCACTTGTAATCATGAATGTATTAAATATACATGTTTTAAATAAAGCAGTATCTTCTGAAAAAGCACTCTGTAGCATGATAGATACCAACAAGATCAAAAGCTAAGTCAGCTGCATAACAAGAAATCCTCAATGTAGAGGTTACATTCATAGTTAAGACTGAGAGTCAGTTTGGTGTGGTGGTTAAAGCACCAGACTAGAAAGCAGGAGACTCTTGAGTTCTTCTACCACCTTAGGCACGAAGCCAGCTGGGTGACCTTCGGCCAGCTTACTCTCTCTCAGCCCTAGGAAGAAGGTAATGGCAAACTATTTTAAAAAATGTCAAGAAATCAGCAAGGATTTATCCAGGCAGTTGCCAGGAGTCAAGACTAATTTGAAGACATGGAGAAAAAAATAAGATACCATAAGTGTAAACAAAAGGTATTTCATCCTCCCCCGTGCCCCCTTCAACTTAGTCTTGACTGCAATTTTCTAGGGAATAGTTTCTGAAATGGTTTACCAGTGCCTTCTTTCTAGGGCTGAGGAAATAATTGGCTCAAAGTCAATCAGTTGGCTTTTGTGTCAAAGGCAGGGCTAGAACTCAGGTCTTCCTGCTCCTGCATCTTAATCACTAGACCTATCTGGCTTTCATTCAGACATTATCTGTTCTCTGAAAGTTTAGAGGGTATAATCAGAAGGGTAGAAAGACTCTCTCATTAACATAAATGTGGAAGTTCAATGCAGTCATATTCCTTATTGTAGGGAAGCATGCAAGCATCCCTATTTTACACTAGGTACTACACAACTAATAATGTTCTAAATAGGCCCAAGTCTTTACAAAACCATCAACTGTAATAGGATTTCCCCCATTTGATTAAAGTCACAAATTTGCATTTGTATTTAATCGAACTGCAGTGCTAACTTATGATGGAGTGTTTCAAAATATAACAGCTATCATACTGAAAACTAAAAGACATTTACATTTTTTTTCTGGACCATCTTTGTAACCATTATTTTAATATAAAATGCTTGTCCAAAGAATTTTAAAAACTACTGTGCCATACAATGCATTTTTACCTAACAACTGCATGTGAATTCTATTTAAATCTTTAAAAAGGAAAATCTTCAGGGCCCAATTGATCTGAATCCATGTTTGTGCCTCTGCTGGTAGTATCAAATAAGACTTTAGGAAAATCAGAGTACTTTCTATACATGCAATGATTTAAATATTATTCTCCACAGCAACTTTAATATAAAAATATATTTATACAATTCATCTATGACAATTTTTTGCAGCCCAACAATATACTTAAATAATTTTTATTACAAACAACTGCTATGCATAATTTTTGTATTTAAAGTACTGTATGATGCAAGAAACTTGCTATTTAAAACTCTAGCTACTGTAATATATATTACAATAAAATCTAAGACTTTATTAAGGCATTATTTCAAATATTTAAAAGATGATAATGAGATCCTGGATAACTGATTCAAGAAAAACAGAAAAATGATTATTTTTTGTCTACTACAAAATGTATGTTTTTAATGATTATATATATCATTCTGTGCATAGTTCTAATGTCAGCATATGCTTCCAGCATTTAATAGATTCTAGATTAGTCTAACACATGAGTTTTAAAATAAGTCTGTCATAAAATTTCCTATCTTGCCAGTTTAACATGGCAAAACAGTTGTGTGATTATTAAACTTCTAATTAAGAGTACCTGAATAGAAGGGGAAGTGAATACCCACTAAATGCACTTTTTCACTATCTTGCAAAGGTTCTAGATAATTCAGAGCCAGAATTTTCAAGTACCTTAAAAATACTTTTCTTGTTACTCTCTGGCTGCTCACAGTTCCTTAGCAAGAACCACTCTCCCTAGAGAGCCAATTTTATACACTCACAACTGTGTAGAAAATGCAGTATTTCACACTGTGAAAGGTTCTGCCCTGGAGCTAATCAGTTCACAGGGAAGTCATAACTACAGAATGACATCAGACATAAAAGCCTGGAAAAGAGCTACAACATGTAGCCCATCTATGTCAACCCATAAACTGCTATATATATCTTTCTCTTGAAAGGGGACATTTCAAAATTGAAGTGTTTGTTACACCTCTGATATATACACTAAGAAAAAAAAATCCATACATTGCCATACTGAGGTAGTACAGTGTATGTAGACTATATTCAATTTTTACATAGCAAGCTTGAAAGTGCCTTTATATGGAAAAAAAAATAGTGCATGTAAACAATTCATGTCACTGAAAATTTCTTCTTGTGACAAACTTTACAGAACACAGTTTTCATAAGGGCGCAAAAATTCCCAAGGCTATTACAAAGATTATACTACCTTGTTATTGCATGTATCCTTTGGTGCATAAGAATAATCCTTATATTTCAATCATGTTTCTTTAATCCAAAGCAGTATAAATTACTGTACTCGTATACACTCGCAAGGGTCATCTTATATATGAATGGGCTTATCTGCAAGTATATATTGTAATAAAATAAATCCTCCCCATTTCAAATCTGTGAAAGATTTTCCTCGTGAGAGTTCTTCAACATTCAAAATAAATTTCAGCAATGATGCTTAAAAATGTTCTATTGTATAAACAATATGGGAGTTGAAAGTGGAAGGATACATGATTTAGGTTTTTGTAATCTATAAAAGTGCTACAGTTTGTAATAAATTTAACCAACTGTGAGATCAGATCCAAAAACTACTTTCAAATCAATGTGTGGTGTTTTGAAATGTTTCAGATCAAGTCATGTTAAAAAGGAATGATATTAATTTTTCTATTTAAAAAGCTGTGCCTATTTATCATATGAAAGCAAGTTCAAATATTTTATAAATCACCATTTAAAAGAATAACCACTTTGGTTGAATAATGCATTAACTTATGCAAAATTGGCATTTCCACACGCATAAGACCCTCTTTGATATTTCTTGATCATGCATGCACATGCAAAACACAGTTCAGTAATGTGTAATTTCCAAATGAAGTATCTCTGAGATATGTAAACAACACATTGGGTTGGAGTTCTAAGGATTTATATTCATTCCCAAATCACTCATTTTTCCTATTACATTACACATTTCCAGTACTAGATTTATGTTTCTGCTGTCCTATGGGATGCTTTGATTCAGAAGTGTGGTGGTATACAGTGTCCAACTGCATTCCAGTGGGTGACAAAGATCTCTCTTTGTTTAACCCACAAGTATCTGCAAAATACAGTTTTGGTCTCTGGTGGTATTTAATCCTATAAGTATCGGTCATACAGTTATCAACTGAGAAATAAGTAGTAAGCGATACAACATCATTTGCATTGGCATCCAGGGAACTAGCATTTGGTTCTATAAGACAAGTCCTTTTGTTTGAAGGATTACTGGATACAGCCCATAAATCACTTCCTAATAAACTTGGTGAAAAGCTTGTCTTAGAGGACTCATTCAAATGAAATGCTTTAAGTCTTTCTTCATCCGCAAATGAACTTGCTTCTGGTATACTTTTTGAAGTAGTACCTGCAACATGCCTTTCAATTTTTGGAGGATTTGTGCACATTACTTCTGTTGAGTTTAAATCCACAGTGGATTCTTGTTCTATACCATGCAAATGAGCCAGAGCATATTTCTTTGGTGGTAAAGGTGGTGGTAGATTTTGGTAAATTGCTTCTGTTGCATCATCATACTTGTTACTGTATGTGCTAACTTTATGTCCAGTGGATGGAGGAGATTCAGAATAGCAAGGCTTCGGTTTATTCTGTTGTAAAAAAAATGCAAGAGTAGGCATGGATCTAACTGTCCTTGTATGAGATACTGGACAGAGGACTTGCAAATGGGTAGATAAAGATTCACAGTTATTTTGAACTCTTTCAGACGTGGTTCCATTCTCTCCAATATAAGAAGAAACTGAACTGTCAGCACTACAGATGTTTGTCTCAGTAGGTACATCTTCACTGGACCCTGGCATAGAGCATTGCTCACTTATTGTACTGTTTTTCATTTCTTTTTCAATGTGATCTTTTAAAGCTGTTTGCACTGTTAATGAAGGTAAAGACTTCTTATTGCAATCTGGTACATCAGTCCTAGAAAGCAAAGTATTTAAGGATGTAAGTATTAAATAACTACTGGAAAATAGTAACTGCAATCCAGTTCTAATTAAAATCACTAAAATAAAATAATTTTTGTTATTTCATGGGGGAGCGGTAGCCTAAAAACAGAAAGTCATCAGAAGATGGAGTGCTTTCCAGTTTATTGTAGTGTCAAATATAGCTTATTCCTACTCCCAAAATAACAGATTCTTTGCTGGTCTCTTTTTCATGCCTCATGTTTATTGTATGTCTTTAGCCAACGGATATAATCTGCACTGTCCCGACAGCCAAGCTCTAATCTGCTTAAATAACAAGGTTTGAGAGTGATCCTACCCGTACAGATTTAACTGTGGGACAATATAAGGACAGTGATTGGTGGATTTTCCTGTGTTCATATTCCCTTCCATCCAGGGTCACCAGCTAAGCAGGACAAACATCAACAGTTGTTCTACTTATTGTGAAGTGGGATGGGCTTGGGTAACCTTGGGTGAGTAACTGAGTCAGAGGATTTTGCCTTTTTTAAAGTTGCCTGAATGAAAGGTTGTTGTTGATAGGTGCCCACTACCAGCAATCTGTCACTTGTGTTATTTCTGAAAGTGTGAAGGGTGATAATGAGACAGCCCTTCTGAGAAAGCCAGAGGCAAACAGTCTGAAACCAGACTAGCCTGGTTTCAAAAACAAAAGATAGGTGGAAACTGTCTGTTATGCCCCAAAAAGAGTGGCTTCAGGCCCATTACATGCACAGACAGAAGAAAATGCAAGAATGTGAACATTGTTTTTATTATAAGCAGGGATTATACAGTGGGGCAAAAAAGTATTTAGTCAGCCACCAATTGTGCAAGTTCTCCCACTTAAAAAGATGAGAGA